TCCAGTAATTATTTGAGCTTACACATCTAATATCACTCATTTTGGTAGGACAAGATTCAGATGCCCTGTACATTTGAATTGCAGCAAATTGCAAACAGCTCTCTGTCAATGTCCTCTGAGAATTTTAAGCTTAATTATGAGGAATGTCTTTGTAATGATTTTTTTTTTCCCACTGGGACGTCGTTGGTGAGCTGACTCAACGTGGGTTTTCCTGTAAAATTTCAAATTTAAGACTTGAGATTATCGGCGAATAATTCAATGATGCTGGATGTCAACATTAAAAAATGACTGCTGGAGACATGAAATGCACTCATAAAGCATTAGGTGGATATACTCACTTTGGAGGTGTTTGTCGCTTGGCGCTGCTTCAGAAAGAAAAACAAAAAACTCCTGCTTGAATAAGGTTTCATCTTTTGCTTTTGATTAAAGCGACGACCTCCCGAGCTTGCTGACACGCACACGGAGCAGCCTGTGTGGCTGCAGCACTTTCAGTTTCTGTCCTATTGAGCCCACTTCAGATAACTGTGACGCTCATTCTTTTTGTAAGACTAATGATGGGGTTTTTTTTGTGTGTGTGTTTACGTCATCTCATCAGTGATGCTGCTGTGACTCACCTCGCTTGAATACCGGGGTGGAAGGTGACCTCAGTTTTTTTAAATATTATATCATGTTGGATGAGGTAACCTGCACTTGTATATCAAGCTGTGCAGAAGGTTAGAACAGTCGGCCATGCATCTTATATGAACATGTTTTGCATACACACAAATGTAGGTGTGTACTGTACACACACACACATGCATACACAAACTAACATCCCCCTTGCACCGCAGGAATTAAAGGAAAGGGAAGGGGTAGATTTTTCCACTGACCTCAGTCCCAGCCAATCAAACAGCAGGGAGTCTCAGATCTGTTCCAATCCAAACCAATCAGAGATGATGATGAGCTCACACTTCTTTCATATCCGGGCCCTGATTCGCTGCCGTCGTACGACTGTGTGAGGGAGGCAGCCTGTGCGCTTCACATGGGAGCTTGTGTCACACATACAGAAGCAGCCAGGCAGTCCTGTTTGGGAGCTGCTGAGAGAAAAATTTTGCTGTCCTGGTGCTTTGGCATCTACTAAGCATCCGCACCATCATCAATTATTCACAGACTCAGCAGTGCATCCCTGTGCCTGACTCTGTGTGTGTGTGTTCACATGCCAATCTGTGTCACCGTGTGTGGTCACAATATGCTCGCATCGGATCTTTGGGGAGACACGTTTCTTCCGCTTCTCTGTCAGAATCTGTTTTTCTTCGGCTCGGTTCTTTGGTTATTTGCAGGACAAGAACGCGATGCTTCACTTACGGACTCTGCACAGCTGATTTACTTGGAATCGAGCTCTGCGGGCTCCTCAGGTTGAGGTCTTTTAACTGGCGGGAACTGCCTTTGTTTTACTAGCTGTCTAGTGTTTTCATTGAATGAGCAGTATACTGGACTATAAACCTGCACCTTTTCTGGTTCTGGATCGGTTTGCTTGATTTGTCAAAATGCCTGAAGCAAATTATTTGCTCTCTGTGTCCTGGGGATACATAAAGGTAAGATCCCTTCTTATATTAGGGTAGTTTTTTTATATATTTATGTGCTTCACACCTAGTTTGATGTGATTGCTTGAATTAATTTTCATCGAGAGGACGTGGTTCTTTTTTGTAACTTTCATCCCTCAGACCAGTTAAGATATACAAAGCACGTCATATATCTCCTCAAACTGTTGCTACATTGGTGTGAGATTTCTGGGTCCGTTTTCCATTTTGATGCATTTGTGATGTGAAGAGCCGATGTTGTGCTCACATGGTGCTGCCTGGGTGTAATTCACAGAAAAAAATAATAATTTAGGTGACTTTGGATTCAAGAGCAAAGATGTTTTCACAAAATCTGTGGATTGTTATTTCCATTCTGGTTGTTTCAAAGGTTAAACGGCAGAAGTGGCCTCTTAGGTCAAAGAAAACAGCAACTCTTAGGTCTCTCCTTTTTAGGTCCATAATCTTTTAATTTTAGGTTATACAGATATCTGGAAATCGTGTAGGTTGCATTTTTATTTATATGTTGCTATTTTTATATGTTTGTAATTATTGTATTTGTGACTTTTCTGCAACAATGGCTGCAAGTGGCTCGCAGCCTCTGGTGTCATCATTATAAAAAAGCCTGTGGGTGTTCTTAAATTGGACTGAGCTCTAAAGAGACTGCTGTGGTGTTATGACTTGCTTAAAGTGATCAGTCATATCAATCATAAATCATTGATATATACACTGTGCATTTTACAATTTCATAATTAAATTCATTCATAATTAAATAATGCATTGAGGGGTTTTTTAAATATCTGTTTTGTAACTTTGTGGTTTGGAACATCAGTGATTTAAAGCGTTTGCCTCCACATCAATCAATTTGGCCTTCAAACCCAAAGCTGCAGCTAAATTTGGGCCTGCCACTTCAATTAGGCACCGGGGAGCTAAGAGCAAATGAGGAATAAATAAATGTTGTCAGTTTTTCCAGGGCAGCAGCCCTCTAAATCTGTGTGTGTGTGTGTTAAAGTGAGAGAAGGTGACATTTCTGGGAATAACTACTGTATTGTTCCTTGAAATTTTAAAAATCTGTCTGCAAAAGACTGCTGCTATTAGGAATGTGTATGCCATCAAATCATCTGTTTTCTTTACATGCATAGATTTTTTTTTTTCACGTTCTGGAACTTGAACTGTGTTTTCAGTTTCTGTTCTTTACTTGAAAATGACATCATTAAGTGCCTCTGAACACCTCTGACCTGAAAAACCAAGTAATTGTGATTATGCCTTTTTCCGAGACACTGAACCCATTATTCATATACGCGTGTGCTCCGCTTTCAGTTCAAGAGGATGTTGAATAGAGAGCTCACGCACCTCTCGGAGATGAGCCGCTCTGGGAACCAAGTCTCTGAGTTCATCTCCAACACCTTCCTGGGTGAGTGATGACACGGGTAGATAGACTCGCCCTCTTTCCTGCATCGTGACAATCTTTGTATTCACTTTTCTTTTTTTTTTTCTGCACTGTGTCTCTCCAGACAAGCAGCATGAAGTCGAGATGCCATCCCCTCAAACGCAAAAGGAGAAGGAGAAGAAGAACAAGCCCATGTCTCAGATCAGTGGGGTGAAAAAGCTGCAGCACTCATCCAGCCTCACAAACTCTAACATCCCTCGATTTGGGGTCAAGACCGAGACCGAAGATGAACTTGCTAAGGTGTGTTTGTGTGCATAGTTTACATAAATATAGTGCACAGTGTGTGCAATTTGATGTATATAGTTGAGGGAATTTATTTCTGATCTTATCTCATTGTTTTTTGGGGTTTTGATTTTTTCAGGAGTTGGAGCATGTGAATAAATGGGGCCTTAATGTTTTTAAAATCTCCGAATTTTCTGGGAATCGACCACTGACAGTCATGATGTACACAATATTCCAGGTAAAGACTTCCTTCTTCTGTTTTTCTGGCTCTTTTGCTGCTTGATGAATCCCCAAATTGTCCAAATCGTCTTAATTTTAATACCCCTCCCCCTTGTTATTTCTTATTTGCAGGAGAGAGACTTGTTAAAAACTTTTAAAATTCCACTTGACACCTTTATAACCTACCTGATGACCTTAGAAGACCATTACCATGCCGATGTGGCCTATCATAACAACATCCATGCTGCTGACGTCACCCAGTCAACTCACGTGCTGCTATCCACCCCCGCCCTTGAGGTGAGGTGCAAGTGCACGCACACGCACAAAGACATGGAACACTCTTGTACACATGCATTGACATGCATATACTCACAAACACGTAGGCCATGCTTCCACAATCAGCTTCAATCAAACTCCCTCTCCACGTCCAATCAATGGCTCTAAACTTGAAAGGGTATTTTTATCCAGCGAGCTGACTCTTGCATCAGTGCCCTCCGCTCTCCCTTCAACACTTGCTTCTTCTTCTTTCCAGGCTGTGTTCACAGACCTTGAGATCCTCGCTGCCATCTTTGCCAGTGCAATTCATGACGTGGACCATCCCGGAGTCTCGAACCAGTTCCTCATTAACACCAGTAAGCCTGAATATGAGTGTTAGCAACTGTGTCATTACCAAGTATTCACAAACGCACACACTCTGGCACAAAGGTGAGAACATGCACATTGATGCCTCTGCTTCGTTAGCAAACATACATATGCACACACTCTGCATTATAAATATAATTTCTCTCATAAATCACATTTCATAATTAATCCAAACTCTGAATTGATTCTTGCATCAACTCCAAATGTGCAGGTTGGGCTTAAACACTTAGTGCCTGCACGCATGCACATGTTTACCAGCATGTTTTTTGCAGGCACGTGTGATGGCTTTGACATGTGATTCCAAAGCAGAGGAGTTCAAAGAGTCGATCAATAATTGCCCTAATCCCTGTACTCAACATCATTCAGGATTCTTAGGAAAACGTCCTTCTGAGGACAAATGTAGCCACACTATATGTGCTGACCTCAATATTTTCTTGTTTACATCAAGTGGTAGCTAATCAACACTAGGGATGGGTATTGATAAGATTTTCACGATTCCGATTCCATTTTCGATTCTGTTTAACGATTCGATTCTTTATCGATTCTCTTATCGATTCTTTTTTTTAAAAAAAGGAGAACATTAAGTTCGATTAGCTTAGAACTTTGTTTTATATCTTCTCTTTGAACAAGATAGAAATTTAGGAGTAACATGGCCTTACAAACCCAACAGTGAGATCTTAAGAGATCCACAGCCTACAGCTCTTCAATGGGGTGTCACAGGGTCCCCAGGAAAAAAAATTTGTAAATGTAAAATAATAAAATAAATATTCTTCTGTAGCAATAACAAAGTATAACATAAATTATTCAGTAGCAATTACACAAGAATATCCAGTAATGTCCCTGCCTACAATTAAACACA